CAGGGAGTTCTTGCCCAGAACAGAACCACACCGCCAATCCAAACTGTATGCTAATTGTCAATCATCTTTGACGATAGTGGTCCTGACAGAACTATATATTTAAATGTAGTCAATTTTGAAATCTTTTTGCATTTTTCTTTACTGTTTATAAACATATCTGTTATTTGATGTGATTGCTGTGCCATCAACTAACTAAAGTTCAAGTGTTACTACACTTAAAACAGTTTAAATTAAATTAGACTCCATTTTTTTTCTGGCTCCATCTTTTAGGCTACTAAAATACAGAGATAGGCATAATGACAAGTAGCCCGATAAACCTGCAGAATCCAGATTTCAAGCTATCATAGGTTTTATTGGTTGTGTCTGTTCATTAAAAGCAAAGAAAATGTCATGGACATGAAAGAAATATTGAATTTGATATTTGTCACCCAGTCAAAGAACTAATTACCACATGGACAATTAGTTTGAGTAAATGTTATAATTTTTGCTATTAGCCTAAGTACTAGTATTTTGAACAAACATCCAAAAATAAGTATTAAGGACGAAAATATAATAAACTATATAAAATATAATTCTAACTGTAAGAGGATAGTGCAGTCCACACCATGGATTATAATGATAACGACACAGAGGAACTATATAATTGGAATCACTTGGAATCACTGCCAGCTGATTAATGATAAATAATAATAATAAAAAAAACATTGATAACCAATCAGAATCTTTCCTGTTTTAACGAGATTAAACATTTTAAAGCGGCAGACGACAAAACTGCAGCGTGCCTATAATAAACAGAATGTTATCATGATGGTGTGGACGCTAATATAGTTATTGTTATAGTTATTATATTTCATAAATCACTCCACACCATTTGTGCAACAGATGTGAATGCATGATACTTCAAAATGTTTTTTTTTTTTTTCTAAACAGACTCAGACTATCACCTGCCAGGCTATGAAACGAGCAAAACAATCCCACAAATTTACGTAGAAAGAGGGACCTTTTGACTTGGGCCAGTAAGCAACCATTCATAAACCATAGCAACCACACATTAACACACTAAAAAAAAACACTCAAACTCCTTAGCAACCACATAGCAGGGCCTTGGCAACCCATTTTAGCAATGTGGTTTTCAGCTTCGCAGAGGCATGCGCCACTCACACTTTCCTTGTACACTGTGTATTCTTTATATACTAATACGAGACAGTATAATTGCTTGGTTTGCTAGCATGTTTCTGATGGTTGCTAATACTGTACATGGTTGCTAGCAAAGGTCTCTACTAAATGTCAATGTTTTCCCTTGAGGTGTTCCAATATTTACACATTTGTGCTTTTTTAGCTATTTTTAGCACATGTTAAGTAAATATTGCATAGCAAACAATTGTTCATTTAATTCCAGTGTATGAGTTTACATCTCAGCTGTTGCAAATAAATTGTATTACATGTCATGTATTGGCCGTACATCTTGCTCATTAATTATATTTTAATAGGCTCTTAGGAATAGGAATATTTCCAAGGATGGGCACTATTTCACATACATGTATTTAAAATATGTATTTGAAATACAAAATAGTATTTTGTATTTTAAAGCCTTCGGCAAAAATCTAATGTAATTTGTATTTAAATACATTTAAGATTAGTATTTTTGTATTTTCAAAATACATAAAATACTGCCTGAATCATTCAGACAAGCCCCCTCCCCTTCCCTCACAACTCCATTCAGCATTGCATAAGCACATTTTTTGGAATAAGATAAGGAGAGGATGTCATGGTCAACTGATTTGCCTTCAGTTATCATGAAGGAATAAAATAACACCAGCAAGGGTAAAAATAGTGTTAGCCAATCAGTTTTGATAGTTAATCGGTTGATGTTTTTTATTAACTAACTTGTCAAATGTGTTTAAAGGGGTTATCGGATCCCCATTTTCAACAAGTTGATATGATTCTTTAGGGTCTTAATGAAAAGTCTATAACATACTTTGGTTAAAATTTCTCAATGGTAGTGTAAAGCAAGACCCTTTTTACCTTTTCACCTTGAAGAGGTGTTAGTGAGGCCAGCAGGGGGTGCTCACCCTGCAGTCTGTGTGGGTCCTAATGCCCCAGAATTGTGACGGGGACCCTATACTGTAAAAAGCACTGTCCTTCGGATGAGACGTTAAACCGAGGTCCTGACTCTCTGTGGTCATTAAAAATCCCAAATTTGCCCATTGGCCTCTGACCATCATGGCCTCCTAATCATCCCCATACACTGATTGGCTTCATCACTCTGTCTCCTCTACACCAGTAAGCTGGTGTGTGGTGGGCGTTCTGGCGGACTATGGCTGCCGTCGCATCATCCAGGTGGATGCTGCACACTGGTGGTGGATGAGGAGATTCCCCCGCTTTCATGTAAAGCGCTTTGAGTACCCAGAAAAGGGTGCTACACCTGCTCTGGCATCCAAAAAATGGCGGACGGTTTACAGCTCATCAGGGCGGGTCTAAGGTAAAACAGCAGTGTCAATCAACAATCGTGGGAGGGGCCTGGGTCTGTGTAACGTCACACAGCCAAGAGAATGGCTTGATTTTAGAAAAGGGTCATGATTTATCAATATTTAAAAAAAAAAGAACACTGGGTGGATTTTTACCATTATAGGGTGGTTGTGTACACACACTGCCAAGACACAGTTCAGTTCAAACAACATGTAAAAGTTAATTTTGCATTCGATGACCCCTTTAAAGCATTACTGCATGTAAGGGCTGGGTGATATGACAATACATATCGTGCTGTGTCAATCGATTTAACTTTTTCTAAATTGTTTATGTAGATAAGCCTATCGGGGTAAGCAAAAAATATCCATGCAGTTTATAGTGGGCAGGAATTATTGGAACGTTGGAGTGGAAAAAGAGGCACAGGCGAATGAGTAATAGAGTGTGATTTACTTGATGCAGTATGCCACGAAAGGAAATTCAGATTTACACTCGCACGTTGGCAGGCAGTTTTTTGAGCGTGCGCTCCGAGATGGAGTGGAACTCTGACAAGTAGGCCTATACTTTTGACTTAAAGGTATAGTTCACCCAAAAATGAAAATTACCCCATGATTTACTCACCCTCAAGCCATCCTAGGTGTATATGAATTTCTTCTTTCAGACGAATACAATCAGAGTTATATTAAAAAATGTCTCCTCAAAGCTTTATAATGGCATTGAATGGGGAGATTTGAAAAAAAAGTGCATCCATTCATCATAAAAAGTGCTCCACACAGCTCTAGTGGGTTAATAAAGGCCTTCTGAAGCAAATCAATGCACTTGTGTAAGAAAAATATCCATATTTACAACTTAATAAACCGTAATCTCTAGCTTCCGCTAACTGTTGTACTGTGTTCACAAGAGAGTGGCGTTCCAGCAGGTGACGTAGAAAGTAGTGCGAGCTCCTGTGAGAATATGCTTGTCTTGTGACAGACTGGGAGTCTCGTCTCCTCTTGGCTTATATTGAAATCCTCCAACATTTTTCTTTGCAAATCCTCATTTTGTACTTCTAATTTGTGACCGGTGTTTTGTTCAGCTCTCTCCTCTGTGCTTCTGCGTTCATCACCTCTTACTGGAGCTTACGCTACTCCAACGTCATCCGCTGGAACGCCACTCTCTAGTAAACGTGCATGTGACAATTAGCGGAAGTTAGAGATTATGGGTTATAAGGTTTTAAATATGGATATTTTTCTTAAACACATCAATTCACTTCAGAATGCCTTTATTAACCCACTGGAGCCGTGTGGGACACTTTTTATGATGGATTTGTTCACATTTTTGGGCTTCAAAATCTCTACCCCCATTCACTGCCTTTATAAAACTTGGAAGAACTAGGACATTTCTTAATATAACTCTGATTGTATTCATCTGAAAGAAGAAAATCATACACACCTATTGGATGGCTTGAGGGTGAGTAAATCATGGGGTAATTTTCATTTTTGGGTGAACTATCAGGCCGCTTGCCGCGGAATCAACTCGCCGCTTTCTCTCATAGTGGAAGCGTTTTGTGCAGTTGAAGCCTTGTTTATACTTTCACCTGGCTCTACGGCACGGACCTGCTGACTGCATACGCTCCTCCCTAAACGGACAAGGCTTTTATACTTGATGTGTATGCCTTTGTATAATTCTGTGAAATGACATGGGGATATATTGTTCTCCAATCTCTGTGTTTTTTTTTAATTTTGCATTCAGAATAGGTCCAGATAGAGTTCAGCCTAAAGGGATACTTGAATACGATGGCCAATTTCACATGTATTTTGTGTATTTTCAAAATACAAAATACTGTATTTGTATATAAATAAATTTTTTCCACACAGCATTTTGCATTTTTAGTTTAAATACATTTTCATGTATGTATGCCCACCTCATATCTCCTGACTACTAATAGTGACTGCTGCAAAGTTTGCTTTGCTTCACTTAAAGGGGTCATGAACTGAGAAACCAAAATTCCCTTGATCTTTTGACATATAAGAGGTAATTTTGCTATAAAAACATCCTGTAAGTTTCAGAACTAAAATCTTTCTCGTTAGTTTAAAAACAGCTTATATTGAAGCCAGTCTGCAAAAATGACAGCTTGCGGAATGTGCCACTCTATAATGTAATAGTGTTGATAAGCACCGCCTCCTCACAGATCACTGCCTGTGTAGCCCCGCCCAATGAATTTCTTGAGGTTCATGGTCATGAACTCCCACCGATTCTACATCCCTGCCTGTTTAGCCCCGACCACCGATTCTACACCGCTGCATGTTTAGCCCCCCCCACCGATTCTACATTCCTGCCTGTTTAGCCCTGACCACCGATTCTACATTGCTGCCTGTTTAGCCCCGCCCACCGATTCGCGAATGCAAGTCTACAGAGAAACCAAACGATAAAGATGCTCCAACAACAAGACGCTGTTCAGTGCCAAACTGTGGAAAAACAGTCTTTGCATTGCCTTCCTTCTAATAGCCTATTACTTCTAAATTATGATGTTTTTTGATGCAAAAATCTTGATAACATTGTAAGTGGTCAGTGCAAAATAAAAAAACTAAGGCAGTTCATGACCCCTTTGAAATATGAACAAACACAACAAATTACATAAAAACACATCCCAAAAAGCAAAGCATACATGAACACAGTGATCTTTCCTCTAGGTCCCTGCAGTACAGACGTGAGACATGCACTCATACAGTGTGTCTGTGAGGAAGCGTGTGAGAAGCAGGAAGATAAAGGGTGTCATCGCTCAGGGAGACTGATCACTCAGGGCACATTCAGAGCGCCGCGCTAATTTCACTGGCACCACCGCCGCACAATTCTTATTGCATGTGACACCCGGAGAGTCAGCAAGGGCCCGAGGCGCTGTGAGCCACAAGGTCACCCTACCTTCGAGACGGACGCGCTCGCCATGAGGGGAATAGTCTGGTTGATCTGGTGCAGGATGTTTAGATACGTCTGGATTTCAGTGAGGTTCTGTGGAGAAAACAAACACAAGAGACAGGAATCAATGGAGGTGGACGTGATGAGAGCCGGAGACTGTTGAAAGGTCAATTTCATTACAGAGGAGACCTGCACACCAGGAGTTTACAGGATGCTTTCCTTGCTTCACTGCGATTGTGGGAACAATAAAAAGTAAAATGTTGTGCCCTAACAGATGGTTATATATATATATATATATATATATATATATAATTAAATAAACTACATTTGACTGAAGTGCAAACATGATGCTAGATCAGCGGTTCTGTCCTGACAGGATCTCAAAACCAGTTGAGAACAACTGTGCTTGATCTTTCATTAAAAATAAATTACTTCACCTTTCTAAGCCCTTTAATCATCTGCAGGTGATTAATATATGAAGTCAAGTTCACACAGGTGTCAACACAGCAGGGGAACCACAGGAAACATATCATTCATCGGGGCACAAGCACTGTACAAAAACGTATGAATAAGATTGTACTAAGTCATACAAATTAGCCACTAATTTAACCAAAACGTGAAACAGCTACAGAAATAGCCATGATATTGTGGTGGAAAAAACTTATGATATTCACTGTGTAGGGGAGAGCGGGCACAATCTAATACCTTTTGACTTTCTCAGTTTGTGTAAGTCCACATGGGGTTCAGAGTATAGTTTTTTATCCGCATTAATTTCACACTTGTCTAGTACAAATATGTCACGTTGTTACTTAATTACAGGCCTATATGTTTTTTATTTACCCCAAAAGAATGGAAGTGAAATGTGACAACATGCCCCGTAGGTGGGGTACATTGTAACATCTGAGGGGCACGTTGTAACATGACCATATGACCGCTTCAAATGTTATCTGGTCTAATGAAAAAAATATATAAGACAAACTAAAATATTTTGTCAATAAAATAAAATTAACTTTTTCAAATAAAACAATGGGATTTATTTTCTATTTATTTTTTAAAGAACTAAAAACTAAAAATAATAATCTCTGAACATTAAACATTGACTGTCAGTCTTTATTCACCTGTTTCTCATTGAAATTCATAAAAGTAAATAGTGTAAATTATATCGCTAATGTCATAGAATAGCATAGTTTAATGACAGCGGGGCACATTGTAACAGTGTTACCACGTTTCTCATCTGCGCAACTGGAATTTAAAACTGGTTAATGACTTCTGCTAGTTATCGAAGCATTAAAAAACTGATCTAAACTGATGAATAACAGATTGGAGATTAAATAATAGCAGAATTGTCTCATTTTAAATTAATACTAAAAATTGAGATCATTTTTTTTACTTCAGTCAGAAATTTACTTTTGCTATGGTTAAATAAATGTTCATTGATATCTTCAAAAGATTTGAACTCTATATAGTGTTGATATGGCAACTAGTAAATACCATAATTTTGTTATGCTAGCATGTGTGGAAATTTAAACCATGTGTGTTACAACTAACTCTGCACTAGTTTGTGCTCCGTACTCCCCCACAAACCTGGTCCAACTGAGATTTGGCTTGATTAAGACCTCTCAGCAAAAAAGACAAGCACTTCTGATCTGAACATTCTAATTAAGATGTATAGCAAAATATTTTAATTGTACACTTTTATGAAATAATTACACAAAACTGACACTGGGATGGCACCCTATCATCAGTGCTGGGTAGTAAATGATTACATGTAATCTGGATTACATAATCAGATTCCAAATATTAAGTGCTTGTAATTAGATTATATTACCTTTTAAAATACTCAAAATCACACTACAGTTACTTTTTTATTGATTTTGTGATTGCATATTATTCACACTATAGCTAGAAATACAATAATACAATTGTATTGAATACAAATACAGTATTCATAATTTATTGATTCTCCCTAATTCTTCCTTTCATCTTTTAAATGAACCTTTCTAAAATAGCCTACCACTTATATACAGTATACAGAAAGTCCTCCAGTTTTGTGGATATTCACACAAAGACCAGTCACTTATCAGCTGGCTATAATTGCACAGCAAATTGCGAGGCCACACAGCAAATGAACACTAGATTTACAAAAATTAAATTTTAAGTGTTTTGTGTGTGTGTTTGTGTCACGATTTGCTGTGGGAGGAACGATGGAGATGCGGAAAACGTTCAATAGTCTTTAATACTTGAATCACAGGGGATAATCCACAACAGGAACACGGGAAACACATGACATCCAACAAGTAGACCCGACAAAACCAAACTGAACAGACTGGGCTTATAAACACAGGGCAATCAGGGGAACACAGGTGCATGGAATAATACAGTAATCAAACTAAATGAGGACAGGAACACGACCAAATAAGGGAACACAGGAACAGTAACAGGGGCAAAACACAACAAACCAGGTCCATGACCCTGACATATCGCCCCCCTCCCGGAAAG